ATATCTATATATATCTATATATAGATTATATTAATATCTCAGATGCCATTATTATTAATTAGAATAATATTTTTATTATTACTGGAAAAAATGGATGGAATTATTTCATCAGTAATTGAACATATCTAAATATTAGATAGTCTATAACACGTACCACCAGCCCTTAAATAGGACAAATAGAGATGACCTACTATCTAACACCTATATTAATAAACTAAATTAATAAAGTAAAAGTAACTTTGAAGTGGGCAGGTCTTAGTCTTTACACTTTACTCCTTAGTCCTTCATTATTCATTAGACGGTAAAAAAAGTGAAACTAGGGCAGCCGTCAGTGAGAGAAACAAGAAAAAAATATGTTCATTTTCTTCAAAGGCCACAAAATAATTTCATAGTTTTGAAGCTTTATTCTTCCATCAACCGTTGTAAGGTACGAATTTATGGAGCAGTAAGTTTTTTAATTTTTGCAGCAGTATTTTTCTTTTTTGTGCATTTCTTTCTTTTTGATCGAGCAATATTTTTATTTTGTGGCTTGATTTCAATTTTTTTGGAGTCATTTTAGTGAGAAAATAACATATAATTTAATTGTTGTTTGTTTCGATTTATTTTTAAATTTTATAAATAATAATAATTTTCTTACCTATTTGTTATTTTCTGGTTTTTGCAGTAATGAGTTTTCATACACATGACGAAAACAATAAACCGTTCACGCAATGTCCGTCACATGCAGAAGAAAAAGAATTTGCGCAGGCTAAAGATCGTATCTTTGTACCCTCAAATACTGAAGATCTTGGGCAGACTACTACTAACAATATGGTTGAAGATTGTGGAGTAGAAAATAAGCGTCGGACAATAGGTCTGGGCAAACGGCCAAGAACATCAACTATTTGGAACGATTTTAAAGAAATTAAGGATGCTAATGGTGTCATAAAGATCTCCTGCAAACATTGTAAAAGTGTGTTTGCAAAAAGTAAAACTACTCCGACAACTCAGTTGCACAGACATTTGAAAAAATGTGCCACCTTTTTAAAAGAAAAGGCCCTACGAGATAAGGAGAATTCGTTGCAGACACAAATTGGTTTTTTGCCGGATAATATAGATTCAACTTCATATCCCGCGCTACATGATGGAAAATTTGACATGGACAAAATGAAAGAGGTGATAGCTCATTGGATAATGATGCACGAGCATTCTTTCTCAATTGTAGAAGAAGAAGGGTTTAATTTGATGCAAAAATGTGGAATGCCCGAGTGGAAGGGATTTTCAAGAGGAACGGCAAAAAATGTTTGTGTGAATGTGTATGACCAGGAGAAGAAAAAGCTCAAAATTGTTTTGAAGAATGTAAACAAACTCAGTCTTACCACAAACTGCTGGAAGTCAGAGAACCAGAGGATCGAATACATGGTGATAACTGGCCATTGGATCGACCAAACTTGGCATTTACAAAAGCGCATTCTCAACTTTATTCATCTTCCACCTCCTCGACGGGGTATCGATATTGCAAATGCTATTTGGCGGTGCTTAGAAGAATGGAGTATTGAAAGCAAGGTCCACACTGTGTCGGTCGACAACGCATCTGCAAATGGCGTAGCAATCAACAACCTTAAAGATTTTATCACACGTAAAAAACCATTGCTTTGTGATGGAAGTTTATTCCATGTTAAGTGTTGTGCGCACATCCTTAATCTCATAGCTCAAGACGGTCTTTCTGAGATTAAAGATATTATTGATATTATTCGTGATAGCGTGGAGTATGTACGACGATCAGATGCACAACTCAAGGTTTTCACGGAGATTGTGAAACAATTAAACTTGCCGGATAAAAAGTTAATTGATGACTGTCGAACGAGATGGAATTCTACGTATGAGATGTTGGCTGCTGCGATCAAATTCAAAGATGTATTTCCAAGATTTGCTGATCGAGATCTTCATTTTGAAGGCTGCCCAAGTAAAGAAGATTGGAGGAAGGTTGAAAAAGTTTTCTCAGTACTTGAAGTGTTTTGGACTGCCACACACATTTTCTCTGGGAGTGATTATCCGACGTCAAACTTGTTTCTTAATGAAGTCAGTAGAGTGAAAGTGGTGTTGGATAAAAAAATCTTGGATAGTGATGTCTTCATAAAAAAAATGACCGCGAAGATGAAGATTAAATTCGACAAGTATTGGGGGGAGTCAAATTTATTGATGAGTGTCGCAGCTGTTTTGGATCCAAGATGTAAAATGAGAGCACTTCAATTTTGTTTTCCCAAACTTTATTCGCCACAACAAGTTAAGGAAGAAAATGGTCGTGTTCGACAAACATTAAACGAGCTTTACTCTGAATATGTTTCAATGTATAATATTGAACTGTCAAGTGGACAAGTACCAGGGGGCGATGGTCTTCAAACTGAACATAGCAAAAATTCCGAGTCTTTATGTGGTTGGTCTGAGTATGCCACTTTCTTGAGGTTCGTTGAATCAATTCAACCTCAAAAGTCCAAGCTTAACATGTATCTTCAAGAAAATTGCTATATGTCAGACAAAGAAAATGGAAGAGAATTCAATGTCTTGGAGTGGTGGAGAATCCATGAATTGAAATACAGGATACTCTCAATAATGGCAAAGGATATTTTAGCAATTCCTATCACCAGTGTTGCTTCCGAAGCTTCTTTTAGTGTTGGAAGTAGAGTCATTGATAAGTTTCGAGCCTCTTTGAGTGCAGATACAGTTCAAGTATTGATGTGTGGAGGAGATTGGCTGAGACAACGTTTTGGAGTAAAAAGAAAGACGAAGGTAAACTGTATTATCGATAAAATTTGTCTGTAATTATTATTTTATTATTGTCTTTATTTGCTACTTTTTGTTTGTGTTGCAGGTTGATAAAAAAGCAATTCAAGTCATTCTTCCATTTGACGATGAAGCCTCCAAGGATAATTGACATGAATCTGTTGTACATGACTACATGAGTAATTAGTAAGCTTATAATTAATATTTTTCGGTTTTAGATTAAAGGCATCAAATAATATATTGTTCATCTTACATGCAGATGAAGATTATGTCAAAGTATAGAAGATTCTAGGGAAGAACCTGCGTAGTTTAGAATGTGGATTTTGGTTATATTTTTGAATATGAATCATGCACCTTTTGTTTTGAATACTTCTGGACAGTTTTTTCTTTTAATAGGGTTTTTGATATATCCTTGACTCTGGACATTTTATTTTGAATAGGCCATAGGGGTTCTAGAAATTATTTTTGGAATATAGATTTTGCATAAATATTTTGAATATGATAGTTATGATCCATAACTTGTGGAGGCTGGACATTATTTTTGAAATACATTTTGAACATGTTTATATTGTTGATTGCTATGACTTATGCAACTGTTTTTAATGTTTCTTAAAAGTGAAGTGTTAAATCAATTAATATGCATCTGTATATTCTTTTCTGTTTTGTAAGTTTGTTATAATATATATATATTTTTAATTATATATATAATTTAAAAAATAAAAAAAAAATAAAAAAAAAAAAAACCAACTTAGCTCGAGCTCGAGCTCACTGAAGCTCATGCGAGCTCGAGCTCGAGCCAAAAATTCAGCAGCTCGTCGAGCTCGAGCTCGAGCCTCCCAAAACTGGCGAGCTCGGCTCGTTCACACCCCTAGCCAGGCCTGGTGGGCCGCCCACGAGCCCGCTACGGGCCACGGGCCAGCCCAGCCCACGGACTAAAACTGATGCCCAGCCCATGGACTTATATTGCTAGGCTGGGCGGGCTAAATCCACGGGCTTGCTGCGGGCGGGCGTCACGGGCCTGGGCTGCGGGTGGGCCGCGGGCCGACGGGCCTGGGCCGAATTTTGTTCATCACTACTTCAAACTGTGGGCTTTAACTCACCGTTCGTTATAAGCAATTTTATTTCATTATTGTTTTTTTCCTGTTGATGATGCTATAAATAGATATCCTTAAGTAGTTGAGGTAGAAGGAGCTGGGAGAGCAAAGTGGATCACTGCCCACGTGCTAGATGGTCCTGAGATATACCTGCGCACAGAGAACACATGACTTAGGCCAGTGGTTGATCCGGCGGAAATCCTTCTGACGCTCAAGTCAGACGTGCGGATAGTAGAAATAGCTGAGAGGATATGAATTATAGAACTGTTCAGATAACAGGGAGTACCTTTAATAAATGAAATAAAACGTTATTTATACCTTGTCGATTGGGCTGAGATTAATTTATTGGGCCCAAACGAAGGTGATTTGGCTTTCGTAATAGTGTTCTTTTAAGTCGGGTTCGTGGCCCAGTAAATAACGAAATTGTAAGTTTATTGGGTTGACCGAATTATGCATATCACCTGTAGTGTTTGATTAATTTAATAATTACATACTATCATCTCATTGCCTGACAAAAGAAATTCTCGTCTGAACAGCATGTCCCTCCTTCGGGTAAATATTTTGTTCCTTATTATCTATTTATTTAATGTGTCTTATTATTATTGTGGATCTTTTTCCCCTTTTAGTACTTTTTATTTTTTTAAGTGGAAACGAGGATGAGAATTGAGAAACTTGCTATCCTAAGAGGTAATTTTGAAAAAATATGCATCGCTTAATATTAGACTATTGACATTATATTGTCCGGCAATTTTTTCTGTTATCTTGTTAATCTAAACGAAGGTAGGTGTTGAGAACTTAACTAAATGCAGAATGGAGCTTGATACATCCATTCTATTTAGTGTTTTTTCTTGTCTTTTTTAGTGTCCTTGTCCCTTTGTAATTTTATTTATTATGCATGTGGAATTTTATTTATTATGCATGTGGAATTTTTCTTATTCAGTATTGTGAAGCTATTTTAATATATATGCAAAATCTAATTATTCGGCATAATTAAGTGTTCACAATTTTGTTAGGTATAGATTCCTTTACATTGAGCCATAGATCCGTAGAACAAAAAAAAGAGGAAAAGAGATAAAATGATAAATAGCTCAAGTCAAGAGATGCATGTATGAAATAAACGGCTCAATTCTCTTTTCCAGTGTTCAATCAAATAGATCCAAGGTCTGGTGGCAACACCCAAATGGAAACACGCACCAAGCAACATCCATTGATCCAAAACCCCAGATCTATCACCAAACTCATACTAAGTTGACTCACCAACACATGCATAATCAACTTAGTCACCAACTCACCCTCTCCATTCAGCACAAACCCAGTTTTCTTCACTCAGAGTTCCTCAATATATCACTTACAGAAGAGGATTAAGGACAGAAAACACTCAGTTTAAATAAATGGTAAGTCACACTTGTCTCTCTATCTCACCACAGTATATATACACGAAGATTCAATGGTCTTCAGCATTAAATGTGTTGTGACGGTAAGGACACCATTGTCCGCCTAGACCTGCGACGATGTCGCCGGAATAGGATAATAGGTGACGAAACACTATATAGAGAGAGAAGGCCCAAGATGAAGAGGGAGAAACGGCGCAGCAGAATAAGCTGCTAGGGTTTGGGTGAATGTGATAAGTATAAAGAGGATGAACGAGATTGAAACCACACCATGGACGAGCCAAATTAGATTTGACAAGATCAATGAACTTAAGTTGCTATTGAGCCCGATTTCTTAAATTGGACTGCATTTGTAAGAGAATGGCCCAAATCACTAAAGATCGTTAATTGGGCTCAAACCTTAACAAATTCATATCAAGCGAAGGCAACTCCTTAAGCATCCTATCAAAATATTTGAACGACACTCCTAGTCCTCGTTCCAGAACCCTTTCAATCGCATTATTAATATTATAATTAAACGCCGAGGCGCAACTACTTCTTGATTTCAACTTCGGCTTCTCTGCGGCGGCAGTGTCTTTTCCGGTGAGGCTTTGAACTACAGATTTGAAGCTAACTGCATCGGTTTCCACGTACTGTGTGTTGATTATCACCACCTTCACTGGCAGCAGCTCCCTCTTCATCATTCCACCACCACCCATTTTCTCAGTTCCTTTAGTATTCAAGAAATTAAACCAGTAAGAGTTTATTAATCTCGAGTTGTTGCATGGTTTTTGTTTTTTTTATTTTTTCATTTAATTTTGTGTGTCCACTGGATTGTGGTGATGGGGGTGGGGTGGGGGGTGGAAGATCAGACTGGTAGGGGTTGTACGGTTTGGTTTGACAGTTGAGAGAGATGAAATAAGTTGACCGTTGTATGTTTGATTAATATATAAGTGGTCTACAACCATTTTAATTTGGATTTAGTCAAACCACGCAACTTGGGAGATTAAAAGTTATGTACCTCCCACGAAATTTACTTTATTTTCACAATTTTTGTTTTTGTTTTTGAGATTTTTAAACAAATTAAAGACCAACTCACAAATTATTTGTCTCTATAGCAAAAGGAAAAATCCTATAGTATTTATTTGTTAGTATCTGTTTAGCAACAATTGTCCACTTGGGGATCAGGGTATTGGCGACCCACAATTAAATAATGTGGGTATTTGTGTGTGTTGAATGCAATATTAAGTTAAGGTTGACGTCTTTCTCGATGCCAATTGATTTTACAATAATTGGTAGTGTCTGCGGTCCTACAAATTGTATTAGAACCAAAGTAACGGGGATCCTACAAAATTTAAAAGCAATGATTGTTACAACACCTATTGGACAACACATCAGTAGGGATGACAACAGGTCGGTTTTGTGTCTGGTTTACCTAAACCCGAGACCCGATCTGCGAATATATAACATTCAAATTCGCCCCAACCCGTTTTAGCTTAGACTCGGACCTTCCCCAGCCACACCCAAATTAATCGGTTTTGACCCGCCAGATCCGCTAGACCCGTTAACATAAAAACAAAAATTAATATTTTTTAACTTTCATAATATTTTACTGGTATATTTTAACAAAAAAAAATCAAAGTTATGATACAATATTTTAAGAAAACTTGTACAACTGATATAAAGTGAACAATAAAACTATATAATTAATTATATTTAAGTTCTACAATAAATAAAGTTCGAAATGCAAGACGGCTAGCGGTGGTCGATAAGTTTGATAGATATTACTTACGAGAAATAAGATTAAAAAAAAATGAAACCGTGAAAAAATAGTAAATGAGAATAGACATGATGAAAATTGGAAGTTTGATAAATAAAATCCTAAATGAATATGTATATATAGATTAACTATTAAATATGATATATTTATACGGGTCGGTCCCAATAAGACCCGTAAGCCGACCCAGAACCACCCGCTTCTAAAAACTTAGATCAATTCATTACCCGACCCAAAACCATTTACTCAAATCGGCCCCAAATGGGTCAGTTCCGGGTCTAAGACCCGGTAAATACTTACACGTTGCCATCCCTACTCATCTCGTAGTCGCTGCACAATCTCCATAATGTGAAGCAATAAAAAGTCTGATGGATCAAATACCTTATGGTAGTAAGAAACACTCCAGGTTGTTGGTAATATAGATGTGAAAATGCCATTTTGTAAGAGAGATTGGTTAAAGAGGATAATTAGACTTGTACTGAAGATAATCAAACTAGTATGCTTACATAACCCTAAATCTCATTAATTAATTCATTATACATGTAAAAGGATATCACAAGTAACAAAGAAATAAAAAATACCAATATTTTTTATATATATATAAAAGAATCAATGAATATGTATTTATCTATACCTAAAAAGAAAATTATGAATTATTCGGCATAAAGAATATAGAGTTCATCAAGCGAAGGCAACTCCTTAAGCATCCTATCAAAATCTTTGAACGACACTCCTCGTTCCAGAACACTACTTCTAGGTGGTTTTAACTTCTCCTCCGCCGCCGCCGCCGCCAGTGTGGAGTGTTTTCCGGTGAGCCTTTGGACTACAGATTTGAAGCTCTCTGCGTCAGTCTCCACGTATTCTGTGTTGATTATCACCACCTTCACCGGCAGCTGCTCCCTCGTCTTCATCCCACCACCACCCATTTTCCTTATGTACTACTGTGTGTGTTTTGCGTATATTCTGTGTGTGTGTTGCGTGTATTCTCTGTGTGTTTTGCGTGTGTCCACTGGAAATGTGATAATGAAGAATTTATATGATTGGAGCTCGGGGTGCATGGGGGTGGGGGTGGGGGTTTGTAGGGTTGTACGGTACGACAGTTAAGACTTAAGAGATGAAATAAGTTGACCGGGGTTTGTATATTTGGATTTAGTCAAACCCACGCAACTCGGAAAAGTTGTGCCCTTCCCACGAAATTTACTTTCATTTAGTCATTCATAAATTTTCTAGATTTTTATGAAACAAGTTAAATTAAAACAACTTACACCGGAACTTCAACTTTTTAATGTAAGGTCTATTAGATATAACTCCCTTAAACATTCAAATAATAGGGGTAGATCCAAATTTATATTTGTCATTTTGATAACAGTCTAAACTTTTCTTAATTACATAATTATCCTCAATCAAATCCCACAAAACCCGTTACTTTACCTCTTGAAATAAAATCAAATCCCTTCCTATTTTCCCGTTAAATTACTATCATCCCAAACCCCACTATCGAATAAACTGCAAAACGTCCCAGAACAACTTCCCGGTACGGCCGATTGAAAGGGGAAGACGTCTGCACTGCCGTGAAACGACGATTTTCGTGCACTCCGAGCAAGCTGCCGTAGGTACGTCGTGGCCACTCGCTGAATCGCTATCATCCATCGATTTGTTGATATGTTTTGGCTAAATCGACTATCACGTTTGTGTATTTGCAGATCTGTTATAATCGCATACCGCATTCGAGCACTAAATCAGTGATATTGCAACAATTGATGGGCAGGACATCCACGAGAAGTGATATCGTCGTTGGCCACCGTCGTCGCCGTCGCCGTCACTGCTCCAATCTAGGGTTACTCAAATATAAGATTACTCAAATCTAGGGTTTTGATAATTCTTCGGCCCATAGTTGATTAGCGAGATGCATAGTCGAATTACATATGTATTAATATACTATCTCATATCATTTAATAGACTATCCCACTGGTATAATTTTACTATGGATCTCGTTAATCGACTATGGGCCGAAGAATCATCAAAACCCTAGATTTGAGAAGTGACGGCGGCGGATTTATGTTTTAAAATTAATATACTATCTCATATCTTTTAATAGACTATCCCATATATCTAATTCGACTATGGGTTTAGTTAATTGACTATTGGAAAAATAATAATATATATGGAAACTGAATAATATGTTTGTTTGAAATACTAATCAATTAGGGTAATTTTCCTTATTCTATGAAAACGATTAGGGTAAATAATGATATATATGAAAAAAATAATAATATATATGGAAACTGAATAATATGTTTGTTTGAAATACTAATCAATTAGGGTAATTTTCCTTATATCATGTATTAGACTATCTTATTCATCTAATTCGACTATGGATCTCGTTAATCGACTATTGATCCCGTATTATTCAACCACATAGTATATTAATAATTTCAATATAGTACATTGATCTGCTATGATAGTATATTACGGTTATAGTAGTGATATGAATTGTGTTACAAACAATATACCACTGAAATGACAAGAACATTGAGAACAACACAAACGTAAAGTATTCCAACATAACCAATAAAATAATACATTAATAATCTCATAATTTCAATCTAGGGTTTTTATAAAATACATAAAACACATCATAACACAATCAAACCAATATGTCGAGTTAAAAAACTCTAGTACATTAATAATCTCATAATAGTATAATAAAATGATAATGGTAGTATCATACGGTATTCATAATAGTATACTACTGTATTACAACGGTTTAACACTTAACCGAAGTTATCGAGCCATTACGTCGTAAACACCTCTTTATAGCAACCAACCCACCAAACCTCAACAAATCCTTACGAAATTCGCCATCGAAAAAACCTAAAATCATGAAACAAAATAAAAAATGCAGAATACTAAAAAATGATTAAATAGACTGCAAATACATTTGAATGACAATACATTAATATCATCAAAAATAAACTTAAAATGCAAAATCCATACGCTAATTTAAAAAAGACTACGAACTATATTTTAATGTACTACCCAGCACACTTAAATCGGCTGTTATAAACAAATAAACCAACTATCGATCGGGATCAAAAACATGAACTGGACCACAGCGGACAATTATTCCGATTATTGCATAAACCAACTACGAAGCTCATATAAAACAACTCTGGTCCGATCTGCGTGAACCATCCTCTTCTAACTCTGTCAATCATCTTCCAAACAAACATCATCCGCCAAAAATAACGATGTATATATGACGACGTAATTTTGTTAAAAAACGTTCTACTTCATAGAATCAAGTATCAACACAACCCTTAAAATTTCTAACCACCGTAATCGAAAATCCTAGACATTGAGCGAAAAATAAAAATGAATAACGCATTCATACCCGGTTACCAACGTCCAACAACGAACGCTCAAATTCGATCCCATTTCAACGACGGTGCAGAAATCTTCAAAGACGATAAAGAACCGCTGGAACGCTGAAGAGAACCTTCGAAAAATATTGTACACGATTTGATATAACGGCCAATGATCTCACGTAATTTTATTCCGTGATTTTAGGCAACGTATCAGCAAATCTCAAATCACGTAGTAAAGGAAATAAATGCCGTTTAAAAATAAAACAGGGGTATTAAAGGAAAATTATATAATATATTTTGCCAAGTTGGCAAAATTGGATCTATCTCAAAAAGGGGGAAAAAAATTGGATCTACCTCATTAGAAAATATGAACAAGGGGGTTATCCCTAATAAACCCTTTAATGTATTTGTGTTTCAGACACATTTTATGCCCAATGCTCAGGAACACCTCTCAATACTCTCTCCGTTCTTAAATAAGTGTATTTTTTCACTTTTCACAAAGATTAAGAAACTCAATAAATATATCTTGATTTTAGAAGAATCATATAAAAATGACTAAAACAATCCTTATTATTGAATAACTTATAAGAGAAAATTAATAATTTGATTTTCATTAATAAGGTTAAAACAGGAAAAATGCATTTACTGTATTAGTATTGGAAATCTAAAGTGACAGATAATATGGAACAAAACTATTTAAAAAAAAGAGACAGTTATTGTGGAAAAGAGGGAGTATCTTATCAGCCATTTTGCAAATTTTAAAAACATAGGAACATGTTTAAATAGAAAATTTCTAAATATTTTCGATGCTTCTCCAATTATTACATAATTTAATGATAAGTTCAAATTAATAGATGATAATGATATTTATTTCGAATGTATTTGTATGGAAATATATAAAAATAATTTATATATAAATAAAAACTTATATATATTTATGTTGCACATTTATAAATATGTCTCTGTACTTTTAGTATTTACACGTTTTTCTCAAATTCTCATATCTCCAATTCTAAATATGTATACATGAATATTAATATGTGTAATTCATTATTCAATATTTATTTATATATGTTTAAATAATTGATAATTTTGTTTGACTGGAAACCATATTAAAACTAGGGCGAATGGCAAATAGGCCCATCACATGAGACTTAAATGCACATTGGTCCACAAAAAAAACAGTCTTTCAAATAAACCCATCCCCATGTTCTTAGTCTAAAATACCCTCAATAATATAAGTTTTATCAATTCCATCCATTATGTTCTAACTTCCTTAATATTATACACTGACCCCAGATTTAAACAAATATATCACATTAACCTTCAAAATAATAATTTTTTGAAAAAATATTTTTTTTTCTGAATTTTTTTTTCCTGGCCAGATTCAAAAAATTAATTCCCAGATTCAAAAAATTCTTTTATTTTTTTGAAATTTTTTTCTGGCCGGTCAACCACTATTGACAGTCGGTCTCTAGCGTTGACTTTTCTCTTTTTTATTTATTATTTTTTTTTCTTTTTTCAAATTTTTTTCTTAGAAAAAAATATTTTAATTAATATTACTGTCTTGGCTACTACCACAGAGAGTAATATTACTGTTTTGGACAGTAATATTATGAATATTATTTTTCCTAACAGTAATATTATTAATATTACTGTCTGAGACAATTAAAATACTGTTGGATATAGTATTTTAGCAGTCAAGATAGTATTATTAATTAAAATCATTTTTTTAAGAAAAAAAATTCAAAAAAAAAGAAGTTAAATTACTGTCTCCGACAGTTAAATAACTGCTGGAGACGGTAATTTAGCAGCCAAGATAGTAATATTAATTAAAAATATTTTTTAAGAATAAAAAAACCAATTAACAGTTAAATTACTGTCTCTGACAGTTAAATAATTGCTGGAGACAGTAATTTAGCAACCAAGACAGTAATATTAATTAAAATATTTTTGAAGAAAAAAAAAGTCATAAATTACCGTCTCCGACAGTTAAATAATTGTTGGAGACAGTAATTTAGTAGCCAAGACAGTAATATTAATTAAAATATTTTTTTCAAGAAAAAAAAATTATATAAAAAAAAAGTCAACGCCGGAGACCCGGCGGTCGACGGCGGTTGACCTACCAAAAAAAAAAGACAACGCTGGAGACCAGCGGTCAACGACGGCTGACCGGCGGTCTCCAGTAGTGGCGGGTCAAAATTAAAATTATGGTTAAAATTGGTTAATTGATGAAATTTGGCTAAATTGGGTGTAAATCATGAAATTGGAGTTGAATTGGGTTTCAGTGAATTGGTGGTAATTTTGGTATATATATAAAATGGTTTTCCTTATTTGTAAATAAGTTTGAATGGACTAGATTTATTTCAAAGACAAAAAAGTTGAATGTCCCTCTTTTAATTAAATGCCCTTATCACGGGGCTATTTACCATTTGACCTTATAATTATTGACAAATAAATTATTTATTAAACAAAAAAAGCAAAAAAAATATTAGCTTTCCTCAGGCCAAGTCAAATTTCTGGAAAGTACTTGCAAGTACTTTTGATGCAATAAAATA